GGCCCCGCCCCCACAATCCAGGCCCCGCCTACAGCCACCAGGCTCCTCCTAGAACAACCAAGCCCAGAGCTCTGACCCCGCCCGCGCCCTTCAAGTCCATGGTCTCGAGAGACCCCCAACCCAGGCTCCGCCTTGACCCCAGAGCCCCGCCCCTGCCTACTTTACCCCCCATAGCCCCCTTCCTGCCCCTGCTTACATCTCTCCTGCAGAGGAAGAGTTCAGGGGGGTGCCTTGGACCCCTCTGGACAGCAGACCCCCCAGGCCCCCCCTGCAGGTCCCCCCTCGGAAGTCAGCGCCCCCCAGCTGTGATTGGAGGAAGGCCAGAGCCGTGACACCCCCAGGTGACCAGGTAAGGGCGGGAGGGACCTCCAATGAGCCCCTGCTGGTGCCCCGCACTCCCCACATATAGCCCCCTGCCCCCCAGCCTTGCTGGTGCCCTTTACTCCTGACCCGCAGCCCCGTTCCCCCTGGTGCCTCTCAGTCTTGACCTGCAGCCCCTGCCCCCCCAGCACTGCTGCTGCCCCTCACTCCCTGCCCTCCACACCCCTCAATCTCTTCCGACTGGTCTCCCATCTATACCTGCTTAGCACAGGACAGGGAAGCCCTGGTCTCATCTGCCCCCACCCTTAATCTACCCCCTCCATTTGCCCCGCAGGGGGACAGGTGCCGTGCGTGCTGGGCCTTTGCTTCTGTTGCTAATGTGGAGTCACTCTGGTTTATCCACTTCAAGAAGCTCTACAAGCTCTCCGTCCAAGGTGGGGGAGGGGGGTCTTGGGCTGAGGGTTGAGAGTGAGGGGCACCAACAGGGCTGAGGGTGCAGGTTGGGAGTGAGGGGCACTGGGAGGGCTGGGGGGCAGGGGCTGTGGGTAGGAGTTAGGGGCACCCTTGGGGCTGGGGGGGCAGGGGCTGCAGGTTGGGAGTGAAGGGCAGTGGCAGGGCTGGGGGCTGCGGGTCAGAGTGAAGGGCAGCAGGAGGGCTGTGCGTCAGGAGTGAGGGGCACCGGTAGCTTTGGGCTGTCCTCATGTGTCCCCCTTGCCTTGTAGAAGTGCTGGACTGCAGCAGCCTCAAGGATGCCTGTGCCGGGGGCTACCCCTGGGACGCCTTTGGCACCATTTATACAGTTGGTACATATGGGCCTCGCCAGGTGCTGCATAGACTCCCTCCCTACCAGGGGGTGGTGCCAACACTGGACACTGCCTCTCCCCCAGGTGTGACCACTGCGGCGCATTACCCATATCAGGCCCGGCAGGGTCAGTGCCGGTGGAACCAGAACTACGTCCTGCACATCCATGGCTTCCAGACGCTGCCATCCAATGAGACAGGTGAGGCCGGGCTGGGCACTGGGGCAGCTGTGGGGTGTCTACTGGAGGTGGTGGGGCAGAGGGAGGAAGTGACAGTGATGGGTGTGGCTGGGTGTGCGTGTGCACGCTACAAATCCAGGTTGCCTGGGTTCCATGTACATGTGCCTGAATCCCAGATACCTGGGTTCTAGATATGTGGGGATGTCACGTTTGTCCTGGGCCCCTGGGTTCATGTAGTTGTGCCTGTCAGATGCCTGGGCTCAGTGTGTGCCTCCCCTATGGCTGCGTGTGCATACGTGAACACACATGGGCTGAGCAAGCCCCATGAACACACGTGGGCTGAAGTTTGAGCAGCCTGGGTGTGGAGGGAAGTCTGGCTGCAGGGGGTTGTGTCTTCCCTCAGCCCCAACCCTCTTTTCCCCCCAGAGCTGGCTGCCCACATCGCCAAGCGGGGCCCCATCACTGTGATCATGAATGCCAGGCTCCTGCAGGTACCATTCCCAACTGCCCCCTCCTCCTTTATTGCCCCCAATGATCCCACTGACCTCTGCCCCTCGCTCCCCAGAACTACCGAAGTGGCATCATCACCCACCACCTGGCACATAACTGCAACCCTGACCTCCTGGATCATGTGGTGCTGATTGTGGGCTACGGCCAGGGTGAGTGGGGGGCTATGCAGGGAGGAATGGGTTAAAGGGGTGGGGGTGGAGCAGGGGGTCCCCCATTGGGGCAGGGTCGGGGCTATGATGTCACTGCTGACCCTAATATCTTCCACCCCCGTTCCCATTTGCTGTAGAGAAGAAGATCCCATACTGGATTGTCAAGAACTCATATGGGCCGGACTGGGGGGAAAAGGTGAGTTGGGAGTGAGGGGAGGGACACAAGACCCCAGTGCCTGGGGTGTGCATACATACACACAGATCAGGTGCCCAGGGTGTGCATGCAAACACACATGCAATATAATGGTGTCCAGGACACACACACAAACCAGGCTCCAGGACTCACCCCTACACACAGTTCAGGCATTTGGGACCAACATACACAACCCCAGTGTCCAGGACAGATCCCCACCCCCGCCCCCCCTGCCCACAACCCAGGCCTGGGATACATAAACCTATACCCACAAACACAGAACACGGTCATTCATGGTGTGCAAATGTGCACACACAGACACACATCCCGGGTGTCCGGTGTCATGGGGCCCTTGCTGGGCCCTGGGTGCAGCCAGCTCTGGAAGGACATCTGAAAGGTGCGGGTGGGCTGGGGATGGAGATCGGGTGCAGTGTTGCTGGGGGCTGCAGCAG